ATTGTGCAGATTTTAATATGAACACTTACAAAGCCAATATGTACAACTGAATAATTTGGCAAATTAGCAAGGAGTGAAATGTGAGAACAAGCAAAAAAGCGTTGGCGCTCGTGAGCGTTAGCCACGTTATGAAACTACTGCGAACAGATTCGAGGCGCAGCAGTTAAATCCTATTGAAAGATAGCCTTATTGATTTTACACACTTGGTCGAGAATATACATATAAGATTATAGGAAAGACGTCGAATGGTACAAGACACGCGTAACACATTCGCAGCTGCTATCCTTCCTTCCTGGTTTTCTAATAGCTGCATGTATTATTTTTAATTTGTAATTCAAACATAATTGGTAAGTTCTTCAATTTCGGTCACGTTTTGAGCTATGCAGGATGTCCCAAATCATGGTAGGAGTGATTTCGTATGCAAAAATATGTCTAAAAAAGTGTTTTTTAATATAAGGTTTTGCTTTCGCGAAAAATGAATTTGAAACCATACAGGATGTCCACACTTAAATAACACAGTCCGATTATACCGTAACCATAGAAACTTGATTGGATGGCAATTGAATGGTTTGTGTGGGGAAATATATTTGTTTATTTATAAATAGTAAAACGGGACGAAAAACATAAAAAATTTACTAACAAATGTTAGAAAAGTTACGTAACTATTTTAACGTAATACATACGTTATTAGATCCTCTAGTTCAGAATGCTACTGCGGTGCATGGAGTTATACATTAAGAAACTGCAATTATGCGACTTAAAATTGACTACATACGAGCTAGGATCGTGACAGGAAACTATCATTACGATTAAGCAACTTGTCGATTCCCGGAGGGTTGAGCGACACGTGAAACTCTGAGAACGAGATAGCGGTAGTCAAGAATGCGCGTAAGGCATTTAAATTTATAACACATTTACTGATGAAAACCGATCACGTGTCTCTCCGTGAAATATGGCTATCTTGTAGCCTCTAACCGAACCATATTTCTTACCTCCATCGCAATATATTTTATCGCGTAGCTTTACAAAATCAATTTGATGAATTAGTAATTGTTATAAATTATCCCGCTAAATTAGTAATTGTTATAAATTATCCCGATAAATTTTCACTGCTAATATTTCTTTTTCATTTATAATGCTGTGTATAAAGCACGATGAAACATTATCTTTAGTTATGAGAATATAGAGATAGTATAACTTTTTCCAAGTAAATTGCAAGTCCATTTCATTAAACTTTATTATTCTGTTATAAATGTGGTTACAATTCCTTCTCTGCAATTGTATCATTATTCTACGTCATCAATAATCCACACAAGTCATCCGTGTATGTGTATATAACTATAAATAACAGAATGAAAATTTATTTTGCCACTTGCTTATACCAGATAGCATGTAAAATGTAAACCGATCAAATAATGCAGCCTACACGGTTAACGTAAACTGTTAATTATCGAGTTCTTGCGTATCTGTGGTACAAAATGATATTCATAAAATACAATAAGATGAAAAAAAAGCGATTGCAACCACTGTATTAATGTCGTTCACCATTCCGCGAAGAACACGCGTTAAACCACTGCAACGCCCACATATCTTTGTCGTACACAGTGCCAAGATTACTATCGATTTTATATATTCGCGTGCATATTAAACTGTTATTTATCATCTTGTTGATAAACAAAGTTGCTCATGCATAAATGTAATTGTATTCATCGACAACGAAAGCGGTAATCTTGCCAGCACGTGCAAACGAAAGACTTAAAACGACAGACAATGAAAAAGAATTGAACAAAAAATAAAATAGGAAAAGAAGGAGATAAAGCTAATACGAAGGACGATCATATCGACTTTTTTGTCGCGGAAAATCGTTGACAGATGTCTGTCTCGTCCGGTGGCAAATGCTACTTTATTGTTGCGTTGCGTGGGTAGCGCGTGCGTGACGTCAATTTATCGTCCCCGGTGACGATAACAATTATTTTCTCGGATGGTGAATATTTGTGCCTCCATTGTCGTTTTATCGAATTTTATTGGAGGCCAATGCCATGATTACGAATCAGTAAAATGGAACGGGCAATTCTCGGAATGTTCATTTCAACATTGCACCACATATTCTAATAGTATGATAGCTATCGAAAAATAAGTTAATTACTCAGTTGGATCACTGATACATATATTTATATTCATACATGTATTTTTTTCTATGATTTTATGCAACAGTAAATCACTCGTCTTTGGACATTGTGCTTTTTTAGTAGAAGAGAGGAAATGTTCATTTCCCAATCTTCTTCTGGAATCAGAAAGCTACATATTTTTATTTACCGTATAAAATGTCAACATGGAAATACAAAAACAAATAAATAGCTCAATATAAAATATTAGATGAAGTGAAACGGAATTTCCGGTGAAACCTTTTACAAAAATGAATTTGATCGATGCGTGCTATTTGCACAATACAGATTAAAAAGAAAAAGTAAGAGAATATGTCAAACGTAGAGATATGTTAGATAAATATCAGGGCAAGCAAATTGGTTTATCTGATAAGGAAAAAATATATTTAAATTGTTACTCATGTACTAACCATATTTTTCACATTTATATCACACATACGTATATTGAATATTTAATAAATAAGAGTTGCAGAATGAAATGAACATACGCAGAAACTGCGCACTTTATTCTATTGCGAATGAGTGAAGTTTCAATACCCTCTGCGTGCGCCCGTCATTAATGTACATTTCACTTTTAATAACCATGCGTATTTCCTGTCAATTTCCTGTCAAACGAATTCAAAGGATCAATTTCAACTTGAATTTTCGTAATTAACATTCTATTGTCGGTAACAATCCAGGTACATAAATGGTCAAACTTAGGAATATGAAATTGGTATTCTCTGAACTTATTATAACAGAAGAATTTCCATTTGTATAAAATAATTGGGAGGGAAGTAAAAAATTGGATTTACTAATCAATTTATATGAGTAGATTATTTTCGCTCTTTACATTTATGGTAACGACATTTAAAGGAAAATAATTTTGCTTAATTGAAACGTTTCTTCTCATAGTTTCCGGTTGGCGGCTGTCATTTATTATCTCGAATGCTGATGCAATTAATGATCGAAATATACGTGACATTATTGAATTATTCGTAAAATTAATTTTAGAGATATTAGCATTGTGACTTAGTCTGTAGAATGTAAGAGAATCCAACTTTTATATGTAATTAATTCATTAAAGGTAGTACGTATCCAGGCTAATAATAGTTGGAGAAAATAGTTACTTCTCCAACTTTTTTAATGATTTAAGGTTTAAAACGACTAAAGACATATTTCAAGTATTCTCAAATCAAGGAATCATTCTCTAGAAGATTTCTATTGAATCTTGATCCTCGTTACATATCATTAATCGACAATCATGTGAATACGTTCATATACATAATTAACAGTCTAGCAGTTCTTATTTTATACTTATTATTATGAATTATTATATTATTTCTCGATTGGAAATAAAGAATGAGATGGACTGAATCGCTACATCCTGGAGTTCCACGATCAACTGACGGTCACACAATATTACAAAAGGAAGGGGGAGTAACAGTCTAACCGGTCTAACGTAAGGGTAAGAGATAATCGCTGCAGATAGGCAGAGGGAGGTAGGGGGAAGTTATCGCGACACGAACAGGCCTCCACGAGCTAAAATAATTCTCTACTGTATTCCTTGGCCGACCTTGCGTTTCTCGGCTTCCTGCTCCCCTTTTTTTACATAGCCGATGATCTTTTCTTTTCGTACATACGCCATAATCCTCGCGGCACCCTCTTTTATCTGCCCTTAATGCACGCTCACCATTTTAGCAATGCCAGCTTCCCCTTTGTTCCCCTTGAACTTTTAGTTCAAGGTGATGTTTCGTGAACGGAAGACGAAGAGCACAGAAGAAATTCATTGTTTTGTCTGGCACTTTTCCCATTTTACTTTTGGCGAAATGGAGCACCATTCTCCTTTTTACCCATTCGTATGCCTTCCAAATAAAACTAATTAGGTTTTTTAACGAAATTTTCCTTCTCCTTTGCCAGTATGGCGTTTTTGCAATGTAGATTATTTTACACGATAAATTTTGTTTGAAATAAATGTTTTGCCGTTACGAGTAGCTGATGAACATTCCACATTTACTAATTGAAAATCGTTTACAGTATTAAAGTTCCCAGAAGAGTTAGAGAATATAGCCGGAAATGTCAGAAGGTCATCAGTTAATTAATTCATTCCACAGTTACTGTACCAATACTCAATTTATATA